GAGTAGACACTGTCTTGCTATCAGATAGGCCAAACTTCTCAATCACATTAAGTATGTATTGCTTCTGATGCATGTAGAGTGACTTCTTCCATAGGCGGCTGCAGGGGCAGGCAATGAGGGCAATGCCCTACTAGAATTTCTTACCGGAAGATGACATCATCATAATTAGCAGTTAATTAATAATTATTTAGTAGTTATTACATGGAATATAGCTATTTTAATGACAAAAACTATATTATTTTGCTCAACAAAGTGATAATTAGTGGAGAATAAGCTGCTAACTGCATGGTTAATTCACAGTAAGCTTCATAGGTCCATATCTTTGGTCACTTCAGGAAGACATAATCTACAGTAACCTGCAGCTAGAATAACTGACTCCATCATAAAAGCAGCTTCATTATTAATCATCATAGTCAGCTAGGACTCATTCAACAGCTAAATCACCTAGCTACTAATACTCTATCATTGATAAGAGGTCTTTTAGGTACTGAATTTTCTCCTTTTGAACACAAAAATGGTAGAGTAACTCTTCATTGAGAATTTCAGAGCCTTTTTTAACTTGATTTCTTCATAAAATGCTGAAATAGAAGTCTTAACAGTCTTAAAACTCAAGAACAAGACATGTGGGTGTGGTCATGGCCACACCTACATTTTGACCACTCCCACTTTTAGCCACACCTTTGCCCTACTTGCAGTGAAATCCTGCAGCCGCCTATGATCCATAGTAGATCTAACTGGAAGCTGTGGGATGGCCTCATTTGTTAACTTCTGAGCCTTTAAAGAAAAAAATGAAAAGTATCATTCTAATTCTATACATGAATTTGGCTATTATTTCTCTAGGATTAAGTTGTAGTAAGTCACTTTAATGTATATCTAGACTAATCTATAGAATAGATCTATTTTAAGTTTATTTATTCAGCTATTGAAAGTTTGAAAATTATATATCCAAGGACCAGATCTAGAATAGTCCCAAATAATACTCTAGTCATGTTAAAATGCCTCACTAGTAACTGTGATCATCTATATATGACAACACCCAAGGAAGAAGACCTGTTTAATTGTGGCAACATTGAAAAAAATGGCACACTCATGTGCAATATCACTATTACTGAACCTGTTGAAGTTATATGTGTTGGTACAGACTCCAAACCAGTTGTGTGTGATTCACGGAGTAGTATATTAATTGAAATTGGTAAGGATTTTGAATATTATACCAGCAATTTGTGATTTGATAATTTTCTTTAGAAGATTCAGCTAGTGATAAGTGTACGTGTCCAA